AAATTTGTTCAACTAACTTTCGATCCAACTAAATAATATTAAATGAATAAAAAAAAGATAAAATGAAAACTGTGTACGTAACTTATTTCACAAATATATTTCAACTTTTGTTTTTTAACATTACGTTCAAATATGTTACTATCTTAAAAATTCACGATTATTGTCGATTAATTAGATCTTGTACAATAAGTTTATAACAAATAAACTGAAATGTGAAACGTAGTTGCAAAGAATACATTAATCAGATAATTTTGCATTATTTTAGACAATTATGTGGCCTATATAAATGCAGAACTACAAAGAGCATGTCAGTTGCGTATCAATAACTGTGCATTTGTATTCGCCTTACGTCTTCAGAAGAGCGACATAAACGGAACTCCTCTCTGAATCTTATCTCTCATTGTCAGTATTAAACTTATACTTATTACAATTCTAATAAAATTGAATTTCCTATATTATCCTATACATACTTCTTCCATCCGTTCGAAGAAAAAAAAATAATTAAATGGTGAATTTTAGCATAATATTTTATGCAATGTGTGAATTGTTTTGATACAGTTCGAACAACATGCATGCTTAAAGATATCTGAAAGGCGTTTAAAAAACATCATTTTTTTCAGATGTCTTTTAGATGTCTTTCAGATGTTTTTAAGACACGCGTGTTGTCTGCGAGAAATATAAAAACGTAGAATAATTATTTGTAGCCAGTGTGCTGTATTCATATTGTGTCTTTTATGGCCTAAAGAATAGAGATATGAGATGAAAACGGTATGCGTATTACATGGCCTCATTGCAATATGCGTTTAAAGACGTCTATATGCTCTAAAAAATTCAATGAAAGCTTCTTACATAAATATATGGGCCTTTTTTGCGCATTCAAAATATTGTATACGGAAATGACGTTTGTATTAGCGTTTGACATGTAATTGATATCATCAAGTAACGTTGTGATTAACATTTCTAAGTAATTATATTTATTATAAATTATAAATTCAAGAATATTATATGTATCTAAAAATATCTCAAATCATTTCCTGCCATACCTCTGCCATCATTTAACGAAAATTAAATTCAATTAAAAAGTGGCATGCTCCAAATTTTAACACATGAAAAATAAATTATCACGACTTTGATGACATATGAGCTGAATAAAATGTAACGGAAGTATTTTTGCCGGTAATTGGATACTTTGATGCACGATTGTACCTTGAATAGTATACACACGAAGAAACCTGTTGCGTTTCGCATGAGATGAGATTATTGTGTAAAGATTAAGAATGGCGTACGTGCTATGCACACGTGCGCTCATAAATTACAGAACAGTAAATTCGCTACGACTCTTTTACTATCTCTATTCTATCCTCGTACCTTTCGTTTTCGCAATTTTCATGCTAGCATGTAAGTAGGCAAGTGGTGCAGCTTTGCTATTATCACTCCGGTATTAAATGCGACACATGAAAGATAAATATTACAGAATGATAGTGTCTGTTTCCCAATGCTAGTTAAATATCACTTCGTAAATGTCGCTGAAGCAACAAAAAGGCCATAAAATATTACTTCCTCCTTTCAACAAATATTTTCTTTTCATGATTGATGATTATTATGATCTTAAGCATTATTGCAATTTAAACACGTAAAAGTATACCTGTTTATTTTTTTAAATTGCTTTCTAAATAACTTAAAATATTATTTGTGATATTAATAAACAAAAATCGATATCATTCTTTGATGCAGCTAATTTCGGATAAATTGCTAATTTTACTAAATTTGTGTATTGGCACACAAGCTAATTGTGTCGGTAGAACGTGTCACTCTTTTTATAATGTTCATACTTCTCGTAAGATTTACGTGACGCTTCGAAAATATCGAAGCACAGTCGTCCTGCATTCCGCTGCACAGTAAAATGACATGTGACATACATACGTTGAATTAATTGGAGTCCCGCAGGCATTACACTGTGTCTTGTTCTAAACAAGTTAACAAACCCTTCTAATTTAGGATGCCGCTCAGACATACGATTAGATGACACATTTTGATGCATGTCTGTCTGATGCACGTCTGTCGATAAAGATACAATCATTGACATAGAAAGCTGAAATACAGATAACAAATTACGTGACAAAGATTTTATAGAAATTTATAATTTTTTTTAATTTAGAGAAAAGCTAAAAGAGATTTGATAATTTATTTGTGGCTAAATATAAAACACGTGGATTTTGTAAAAAAATTTCTTTGGCATTTTGGCCACTAAAATTGCAATCTCACCACGGTCACCGCGTTTAATTAATGTGCTAATAGGATTATATGGCACAGCGTCACAATCTACCTTACAAATCGATTTGCTAAAAAATAAAACATTATTTGCCATCACATATGACCCACTTTAATCAAATAGAAAAGTTATTTTTTAATTACGAGCTAATGCTAATGAAGTATTAATGTTGAAAATTACTAACACATTATAACAAAAATATCAAAAAATGTTCCAATTCGAATAAACTCACACACACATAGCATATTAATTAAACTTATTAATTTTGTTCCATAATTGTTGTTTCCACGTGCAAATATTTCTGGAACGCTAAATTAAAGTAAACTTGTCACGTGAAAATAGAATCGCGTAATTAAATCAGAAACAGTTACAGAACAATAAACCTAAATTTGTTTCATTGAAATCAAGTCAGGTCGTATAATGTTATACTTAATAATTGGCTTAGAAAGTTCGATTAATGATCGGGCATTCAGACTTGTACGGAAATGTATGGCACCAAAATATAAGTCGATCGTATAATAATATCACGTAGTTTAAATCGTTTGAGTGATTGGCACGGTAGCCTTGCTAATAAGGAAAGAGTCAAAATTAACATATCAATACCGGATTTGCATAGAAATGTCAGAAGTAATTCTATGTGATCTAAAACATTGTATATATTTAACCTTTATTGTATTCATTTCAAATTCATACTTGGCATAGATTCTCCTCTCTTGTCTTAAAGCATAAAATATTGGTTTCTAGATCAGTGTCAGATATTTACACATAGTATTGTTCACTTTCCTAACTTATAATAGAAATATTTATCGTTGATTCCACGATGTCTTTTTAATTACGGAAGGAGAATAAGAATAAAATAGAGTATCGCATGTGCCTTTAGATTTCTATTACATCTGACATACTTTTCTTAACTCTTCTTAACTTTAATAATTATGAAATATATAAGCATATAAAAGTAAAAGTGAATATCGATTTATTTTGAGCTATTAGTTTCTTTCAATAATTACGCAAGTAACATCTCATAAAAAGGAAGACCAAACATTGATTAATTAATATCAAGTTTCATTAAAAAATGATGTGCCATTAATCACACTAATGTAATTAAAATTAGAGCACTACTTCTCACAATCGTTAATAGATGCACCAGTTTAATGTGAAAGATGACTTATTATCTTTATTATAAATAATTGTATATAACACTACGTATCAATTACATATTAAATTGGTTATTAATTATTGATGTTGTTAATTACCAATTAAAATAAAAGAAAGTAACAATCTTGCAGTATATTCATATATTTCAATAGAAATATGCGTGAAATGAAGATCTTCTTCACTAGCAGTTAAGATTAGTAAGCAAGGTCATTTAGCGATATTAACACCTTGAAAGTGAGTTTCTCGTCCCAGAAAACTCCTTCGAGAATCAGGTTTAGTATTTAAAAATTCAGACACCATGAAAAGATCGCATAACGATAATAATGCACAGCTCATCATTCATCACGATATTTATCACATATGTATACAATAATATTATTATTTTATAAAATTTTAATAAAATAATATACACTTTGTATTACCGATATGCGTAATAAAATTACAAGCTCATAAGAATAAATTATCGGAATTGCAAACTCGTAAAAATAAGTTATCAGACATAGCAGAGAAATTTACTCTTTTAACGTGTGAACAAAGTTAATATTTGATTAAAAATTTATCAACTTTTAAGTGTTGAAAAGTGTATTTGAAACTATTATATATTAAACGTTGAGAGTGTCATTGAGAATCAGATACGTTGTGTTACTTGGTCGTGAATATGAATTATGCGTATATCGCAATGAAATATAAACACCTGGTTTATTGTTACTTTCTTTACATTCATGATAACGATAATATTTCGTTTGAAAATACGCTTCTATGCTTTGCGAATCAAATTAATAAATCATAATCGTAAAATTTATGACTTCTTATTTTACTTTCAGTCATCACTTTTCTTATCAGTCATCACTTTTCTTATCAGTCATCAATTTTAATATGATGCATGAATTTGAATAACTACTTCATTGCGATAATGCAATGCGCAGTAATGCCAATACATTATCGATCAAATAATATTTTTTTAATTAATTTAATACTCCTCGTTGTTAATTCTTATCGTTCTTTAACAAGATTTTGAGATAATCCGGTTGTCGTTTATGTCTTTCCTATAAAATTTACATTTTAAATCAATTCCAACTTCTTCAATGTATCGCTGTCCATGTTGTGATATCATCAGCGATGGACTTTTATCGAGAAATGAGTAAACTTTCCTGAGTATCACCATCTCGTGGTAAATCCTCCAAACGTAGATATGTGGGAGGTTTGTGCGCACGCACCAGTCTTATCGATGAGAGTTCAGCACGGCGTACAGTTACCGGCTACAGAGCTGATGGATCGAACGAGGAGAGCCAAGGGGAGAGGTGGCGCCAAGCATGTCGAAAGCGGAGCGTGGCAGAGAGCGAGGAGTGCCAGCGGCTGGACTCTGGAGCGGGTCAGTCGGCGCTAGGAGCTGGGTGAACAGCCTGTTTCGTGGTACAGGACGACGCGTATGTCGTTTCTCTGGAGGCTCCCAGCGGGTGAGCAAGTGCGACGACAAAGCGACGACTTCGCTAGCGTCGAAGTGGGGAAAAGGTGAACGCAAAGTGGGGAAGAGCGGTGAGCGCTTTCGGTCGCAGGAGGGAAACACGAAGAGATGTCGGGAAGAAAGGAAGTCGCAGCGCAGGATAACGCGCCCAAAAAAATAGACATCGATAAACCGTACTGGGATCAGAGCACTTATCGAGGAAGGGCATTGCACTTTCTGACGGTGACGAATCCGCTCAATGTCTTCGCCACAGCCCAGCAGCTCGAGCACGCGCGTGATGTCGTCGCGAAGTACAGGTAGTCGTTGCTATAATTAGTCTTCTTTTTTTTTATCTTTCTAGTGGAAGGCGCGATCAGCACACGCACAGCATCATATTTCACACCACACATGTAGAAAACTTGTGTATGATGCAATCTGTTATGTATAACGGATGTCTTGTTTATCTTATTTCAGTCTTGATTATCTGCTGATTTATTTATCAAACGCTTAGCTCTATCCGAGAAAAACCGCGGCAAATAATTTTGTTTCTTACGAGCTGTCTTATAACGTTTAATTTATTTTACTTTCGTAAATGTTGTGTTATTTTTTATAGCAATATATCATAACTTTACTTGCGTGTCATACAAGTACGAAGTAACAGCATGATTTTTATGTCATCGCAGGAAGGGCGAGACTCCGGAAAAACAAGGAATCACTGAAAACAAATTGTGGAAATGTAAATATCTTTACGATAGCGCTTTCCATCCTGACACCGGCGAGAAGATGTTGTTAATTGGGCGTATGAGTGCCCAAGTGCCCATGAACATGATGATAACCGGCTGTATGATGACGTTTTACAAGTACGTGATCAAAATCGTTCACATAAAATCGTTCACGTAAAATTATCGCGATAACGCGATAAGAACGCTCGAGTGCTTCGGCTCAAACGCACTTATTAACGAATTATTGAAATCCATAAGATAACATTAGCGTACAGTTATTTTCCGATAACAATCGCTTTTACATATTTCTCGAGCAATGTCGAGCATTTTGAATAAAAACAATAAAAAATTGCTAATATTACAATTGTTTTTCAATCTTAAGCAGCACGAAATCTAAAAAAATATAAACAGTCCAAGAGGCGTTTAGAAATTAGAATTGTAATTTAAGATTTATTAGTTAAAATGAATTATTTAATTCGATATCTTTGTGTAAGATTTATTCGAAGCTTTGTTTGGAAACTTATAACTGTTTACAATTCTCATAGGTCAACGCCAGCCGTGATATTCTGGCAATGGATCAATCAGTCTTTTAACGCAATAGTGAATTACACAAACCGCAGCGGATCGAGTCCGATTCCAACAGAGACATTGGCGCAGAGCTACGTTGGTGCAACCGGAGGCGCCGTGATAACAGCGTTGACCCTGAATCGTCTCGCTAAGCGCGGACCACCGCTGGCAGGTCGACTGGTGCCATTAGCGGCGGTCGCAGCGGCTAATTGTGTGAACATCCCTCTCATGAGGATCACTGAACTCCAAAAAGGTATTGAATTACAAACCGAGGACGGCACGAAGGTCGGCCACAGTAAACGAGCAGCGAAACAGGCGATCACGACGGTGACATTATCACGGATACTTATGGCCTCTCCGAGTATGAGTAAGTTTTCCTTGTTTTCGATTATCTCAATTTTTCTTGTATTTATGTTTTTTTTATATAACACATGTAAGTAACTATATTATTATTATTGTTATAATTACGTGATTTTTAAGTTTTGGAAAACTTTAAACTTTTCTTTAATTAAGTAAAAATTGATATGATAATTGTTACTGAAAGTTCGTATAAATGATACAATATAACACATTTTATTTTATTGTTACAGTACTGGCGCCGATAGTAATGAATTATTTAGATCGAAAGAAGCTGTTGCGTAAAGCGAAATGGGCTGCCGGTCCAATTCAAGTTTTGATCTGCGGAGTGTGTCTCACTTTCGCGACCCCGCTCTGCTGCGCCCTTTTCGCACAACGCGTCCCCATCTCGGTGAATCAACTAGAACCCGGTGTACAAGCAAAAATACATTCGCACCATTCCGGTCTGGAGACTGTGTATTACAACAAGGGCCTTTAAACAATGGGACTGGATCCCGATATGATGATACTCAAATATTTTTCACGGTCTATTCTTTGGAACTCAGGTATATGTCAGACATTCCCAAACACAGCATTCGAAAGCACAAATGTGCCATTATTGTGAGTCGAAAGTTTTCGACATTAGGTGATTCGTTGTTGTTAGATAATTTATACTTCCATGAATAATCGATGTTTAGCGTAAGATGAAAGATGAAAATGTTCAAAGGAACTATCATACGGTTTAAAAACTATTCTAGTTGTATAATACGTCCAAACAGAGATGCAAACATATCTTCCCTTTTACTTCGGTCTACGCGTGTATCGGCATGTATATCTCTTCGGATTTAAGACTGTTGAATGAGAAAGGGAAACGAAGACAATAAAATCTATGGTTGAATGTTCCGAATAATCTTTCTTTATTATGTCTTCCTTTATTTTAATTCAAAACTATGATCTAACGTAATTTAATAATTATGTACACTATTTAAAACGATTTTTACGGGAGCGGGCGGTGCGTTAACACCCTTAAGTTGTACGCGAGGCGGCGGCTTGATCTTGCGACCGAATCTACCAGTCTTCCGTTGCCACAGACCACTCCTCGGTCGATTTCCTAATTCCCGATTCTTCTGCGCGCTACCAATCGGTGTGGAATCATGTTCGACGTTCGACAATCGACCGACCGTTGCCATACACGTTTCATGCAAACTAAAGAGCTTCTTGCTGGGCATCTGTACTATCACGCGATCCCCGTCCCGCTTTATTATACATCCGACAGTGCCAGCGGAGTGAATTAAGAAACCGCCCAAGCCTGGGTATTTCTCCACGCAGTGAACCGCAGTTCCATTGGGTAAAGCGCCGAGAGGATAGGCGTCTCCCTCTGAGGCTCTAACAGAGATACGTGGTATTCCTCGATGAGTGCGTATTATGTCGCCCGGTTTCATGTTCTCCGTAGCCAAAATGTACTTGAGTTCGCTATCGGAACCGACTAGCGCGACGAAAGACGTTCTACAGCCGTCTTTGAATACATCCAGAACCTTTTCTTCCTTCGGTGGCACGTTAAGGTCTTCCGGTCCATCCCTGATCCACTTGATCCAGTGATACTTGTGCTTTATTCCACCCCCAATGCCTTTAACTACGATTCTACCTGTTTCAATAATACAAGAGCATTTTTACTTTTTGTTTTTCTAGCACATTTTTTCTATATTATTACAATTCTATATATTTACGATTACATTTTGCTTATAAGCAGTAATTTCTTTTAATTAATTGCAAACAGAATATTTATTATCTAGCATGAATGTGGTATATTAATGTTGAATTCAAAATTGATCTCTTTCCAAAGCAGCGAATATTCGAAACATCGTCGTTTCAGTAATTAATCTATACATGAAATTTGAATAATCAATCTAGCTTCTGGTTAATGAAATAAGCGGTAATTAACTTAAGCCGATATGTACGTTATCTATATTATCTTTCAATAGTTTCTGCTTCGTTCGGCAGAGGTCAGTTACTCTTTAAAGAATGTTTGCAGTGCAATACACATTTACGACGCTGAGTATATCTCAATTGTTAAGTTACAATAATAAAAAGTTCGAGTATTACACATGTGCACGATATAAAAAATATAACACGCCACAATAATAATACTATCTCATGTACCTGTCACAGGATCCCTGCCTGCCAAATTCGTCACTTCCAAAGGCTCCACCGTATACTCATCTTTATAATGGACAATTCGTCGAAAAGCTTTGCCCCGGCCAATTTCCGGTAGCTTCACTAATTTCCATTTGTACCTCCTTGGCACCTGAGACAACGCCGAGGCTGTTAAACCAACGAAACTAGATATTTGCTGACCAAAAACACAACGTGCTAACATTGCGGTAGACATCTTGGATCAGATGTTCCGCAATGAGCTTAGCAGTAGCGCCATCTTCGATAAACAGAGGAACATTCTTAGCAGAATTCGCTTCATCGATGGAGAGTAAGGTAGGTCACCCGATAAACTCAAGCGTAAGCTTCAAGAATAATCGAGAGAGTTCACCGTTTTAAAGTTTATATACCACAACTGGGCAAGATCTACAACTTTCGACCAATTTTCGTAATGACGTCCGCTGCCTTCCCCTTGCCGCTCGTATTGTTAGCAATACCAATAACCTACCAGAATGTCTATAATTAATCCTTCGCGGTTCTTTGTTGAAGTGAACTCAAAATAGTTTTATGATTGAACATAATTTTGTAAATAATTGCAATACGTAATTGCAAGTCGCAAACTATGTAGTTTTAATTTTCATAAACTTTCCGAGATAATAGTAGTAGTTGATTATTACTTTTGTCTTATCTGCTAGCATTAAAATAAAGACGAAATGCTTATATAAATATTAATTAGTTGTTAAATATTAACTTATTTGTTGAAATTAATTCGAATCGCAAAGAGTTAAAGTGATTTACAATCCTAATTATGATTTTAGTCCGTTCGTTATTAAGAATGCCAAGCGACAAAAGACAAAGTCAGTGTACAAATTACAAAAATTAGTCGAAAATTATAAATCTTTTCCCTGTATATATAAAAGTGTCGTAATAATATTTATTAATTATTTATATAATTCTGATTTTGCAAAATCTTTTAAGCATGGTTTGAAAAAAAATTAGTATATAATTTTTATGTATCAATGAAATTAGATATGATATAAAGTATATTGACTCTAAATTTTTATTGAGAAAAAATATAAATGTTAATTTTGCAAAATCAGAATCATGTAAGTAATTAATAAAAATTATTACGACACTAAAGTACAGATTACTTCTTGTTATTACGTTGAGCTGAGAATATAAAAAACGAGCTAAAAGCTAATCAATATAGATCTATTGTTTTAAATTATTGCAAATTGCAAAGAATTAATATACTTTCAGATATATTCAAAAATTTTCTTATTTAGATATTTATAAATTGAAAAAATTATTACTATATGTCTATCCATAATTTTTTAATAAACTTTAGCGACACTTTGAACGAATCGATTCTTGTATCTGCACGAATGCGCGATTCTATTTCATCAAAATTCATCGTGTTACTAACACATTCAATATTCCCGTTATCACATTAAACTACGCAAAGCCGCGCGATCAAAAACATATCCATCTTATTGCGGCTCTCGCCATAATGAGGCTAAAGTTTAGTCGCGGCGCGTAAAAGCGACGCGCCAATTAGCCGGCGTTTCCTTAAGATTTCGGCGCGTAAATCCCGCGAAGTGATAACGAATAAACGCTCGAATAACGTGCCGCGTTATTATCCCGTCGAATGCGACCGCGCGCCGAAGTACGCGCGCAACGTCCCGCATAGAGAAGCGGGCGAACGGTGTAGAGGGGAACGCTTAATTGGCCCGGGGTAATTATTTTATTAAGTGAGAAGATGGCGGATGGAATGCTAAGAGAGAGCACGCTGGTGCGGTCTGCCGACTAAGGGAGGGCGCCGACGGAAACTGCGCTGCGGGACCAGAAGGGATGAAGGGGACGAAAGTACGCGGCGGGGACGGATGGCACGACGGCGGCGCGGCAGGTGGCTCTGTGTGTGGAGAGCGTTTAAATACCTACGTACCCACAGACGAATGTTACTTCACTGAGCGCGGCAGTTTTCCGTGTAGGTGAACGCGGCCGCAACTTTCGGCCGTGTATATGTACGCGTCTCCTCTCTCTCTCTCTCTCTCTCTCTCACGCGCAATTCTCACCGTCACGCACGTTCATACGCCTATCCCCCGCGTGATATCCTCCTCACTGTCTTGCCGCGAGAGAGAGAGAGAAAAGCGGACGGCGGAAGATAAAGGGGGACGGGTGCGCGCTTTTGCGCGCGCGTTCAGCGTCTCCGCGCGTCGGTCGTGAAGGAGGAACATCTATTACCCGGTACATAGGCCGCGGAGGTGGAGGCGGAGGAGGTGAAGGTTGGAATCGTCCAGGG